TTGAAAGTAGACTACGGACCAAACATGATTGCTGCTTGTTACCTGTATTACAAATCATAACACCCAAAAGGACAGAGAGCAAGAGGGATTGTGCCTGCCACAGAGGTGGGAGATGGGAAGAAGTGGAGGTCAGGGGAGGGATACTGGGAACATTAGGGGTGGGGAATGGGCACCGGTGGAGGGATGGGTACTTGAACATTGTTTGACTGAAATGCAATCATGAAAGTCTGTAAGTCTGTAAGTGTATCTCACGATGATTCATTAAAATTGAAAGTAAATAAAATTGTAGAATGTAAAAAAAGTTTTGTTCTTTTTTAAATTTTTATTAGTGAAACACCATGAGATACAGTTGTAGACTTACAAATTTTTGTGCTTGGGTTTTGATTATACAATGATCAAATACCCATCCCTCCACCAGTGCCCATTTTCCACCACCATGGATCCCAGTATCCCTCCCATGCCCATCCCCCCCCATCCCACCCTGCCTCTGTGGCAGGGCATTCCCTTTTGTTCTCTCTCTCCTTTTGGGTGTTGTGGTCTGCAAAAGAGGCATTGAGTGGCAATCATGTTCAGTCCATAGTCTACTTTCAGCATGCATCTCCCATCCTGGGAGGATCCTCCAAACACCCTTTATTTGGTGCTCCCTTCTCTATCTGAGGAGCTGCCCTTTCCCCTAGAATGCCCAGCTGGCCTCTAAGCCATGGAGTAATCCTCCTGGTACTGATCTCGGCTATTCTTGGGTATTAATCTCCTTTTTTGTTACTTTATATCCCCCAGATGAATGCAATCTTTTTATGTCTATCCCTCTCTTTCTGACTCATTTCATAGAATGTAAAAAAAAGTTTTTTAAAAATAAAATAAAATGTCCCACATCTTAGTTATAGTAAATAGAGGAGCAATAAACTTAGGAATCGATATATTTATTTTCAAATTTGAGTTTTGTACTCTTTTAGTGGGCTGGAGTGATAGCACCGCCGGTAAGGCATTTGCCTTGCATGTTGCCGACATGGCCAACCCAGGTTCGATTCCTCCGCCCCTCTCGGAGAGCCCAGCAAGCTACCAGGAGTATCTCGCCCGCATGGCAAAGCCTGGCAAGCTCTCTGTGACGGATTCAATATGCCAAAAACAGTAACAATAAATCTTATAATTTTTTGTGAGATGTTACTGGTGCCCGCTCGAGCAAATCAATGAACAACGAACGAACGGGAGGACAGTGCTACAGTGCTACTCTTTTAGTAGATCCCTAGGACTGGATTGCTGGATCAGACAGCAGATGTATTTCCCATCACTTAAGAAGCCACCATACTGTTTTCTACCTAAGCTAGAACCACCGAATTCAGCAGACCCATGTTTCATCACATACTCCCCAGCATTTACTGTTTCTTACGGGAACAGACTTCTTTTTCTCTTACTGACAAGGTCTCCTGTTCTCACTCTATCATGGGGGCATTTTTCCAGCCTAACTTTCACTTTAAGAGTTCCTGGTCTTGTGCAAGGAGCTGGGACAGTTTCATTCTGACTTCCACATCCTCTCAGGGCAAAGCGTTAGGTTCTTGGACTCACGGGAGCATTAGTCTCCGGCCTTTGTGGTCATTCTGGTCCAGAATCTTCCAGCTAGCCATGTCCATTCACAAGCTGCCATCTCACAGGCTGCTTTTTGACTTCTTGTTTTTGACCACATGGTAATAAAACTGAGTGATGTTCCAGTTTTCTGTCCAGTCTTGACAGATTTTTTCAGATGAGTTAAGTTGACTATGTTGTCATAGTTTTATCTTCTAAATTAATACTATTTATTTATAATCAGTTTTGTTAGTTTATATTTTAGTTTTAATATTTAACATATATATTATTTATATTAAGTGTAATATTGTGCTTAAAACACTGTCCAAAGTTGTTCATTGATTTGCTCGAGCAGGCCCAGTAACGTCTCCATTTTGAGACTTGTTGTTACTGTGTTTGGCATATCGAATACGTCACGGGTAGCTTTCCAGGCTTTGCCGTGTGGGCGAGATACTTGCGGGTAGCTTGCCGGGCTCTCCAAGAGGGGTCGAATTGAACCTGGCTCGGCCGGGCTGGCTGCGCGCAAGGCCAATGCCCTACCCACTGCGCTACCGCTCCAGCATATTGTGCTTAATATTTATTACAAATAAATATTACTGATAGTCCTCAATCTGAAATTTTAGTTGCAGTTTTCTAGATTGTGAACATTTAGAAATCCCTTACATTATTTTTATGTCCAAGTATTCAGGCATGGCGAACTACAGACTTACTGTTAAGTTCTAATGATATACATCTGGGCCAGAGCGATAGCACAGTGGGGAGGTGTTTGCCTTGCAAGCAGCCAACCCAGGTTCAGTCCCCAGCATCCCATATGGTACCCCGAGCACCGCTAGCCTTCCTGAGTGCAGAACCGAGGTAAACCCTGAGCATTGCCGGGTGTGGCTCCCAAAACAAATGAGGAACTTCTGATGTGGAAACCCTGGGTTTGATCCTAAGGATCATACATGTTTGATTCTGGAACACTATTTAAGTAAAATTATTCACAGAAATAACTACTTATAAGGATCTTGTTATCTTGTAAGGGAAAATTCTCAAGAACTTTAGAAAATGCCAATACCTATCTATAAAGTATACTAGTGATTGCCACTCACACAAATAATACACTTCCTACATGGGAAAAATATTTTGAAATTGATTAATCACAAATCAATAGCATGTAAAAAGATTTTTTGTACTATCAGACAGAAATTCCTTCCTTCCTTCCTTCCTTCCTTCCCTTCCCTCCATCCTCCCTTTCTTCCCTCCTCCCTCCCTCCCTCTCTCCCTCCCTTTTTCCTTCCTTTTTCTCTTCTCCCTTCCCTTCTTCCTTCCTTCTTTCTTTACTTGCCTCTTTCCTTCCCTTCTTCCTCCTTCCCTCCCTCTCTCCCTCCCTTCTTTCCTTCCTTTTTCTCTTCTCCCCTCCCTTCTTTCTTCCTTCTTTCCTTGCCTCTTTTCTTCCCTCCTTCCTTCTTTCCTTCCCTCCTTCCACCCTTCCTTCTTTTCTTTCTCTCTCCCTCCATTCCTTCCTCCTTCTCTCCCTCCATTCCTTGCTTGCTTCCTTCCTTCCTTCCTTCCTTCTTTCTTTCTTTCTTTCTTTCCTTCCTTCCCTTCTTCCTTCCTCCTTTCTTCCTTGGTGTTGGGGCCATACCCACCCAAGGGTGCTGCAGCTGAAGGGAGGTTGCAGTTCCTGGCTCTGTGCGCTGCAGCTGAAGGGAGGTTGCAGTTCCTGGCTCTGTGCTCATGTGGTGCTGAGCATGAACCAGCTCAGCCTCATGCAAGGCAAATGCCTTAACCCTTGCTGTAGCTCTCCCTCCCTATTGCAAGTCATTTTCTTTAGCTCTTTTCTGTTTGTTTTTGGGCCACATCTGTCAGTACTCAGATCATACTCCTTTCTCTGCACTCAGGATCACTTCTGGTAGTCTGGGGCAGTTACCATATGCAGTTCTGGGGATGGAACCTGGATCAGCCACGAGCAAGGCATGAATCTAGATCTCCATTATGGTACTTTCAACATGAAACCCCAGGAGCACTCATTATAATACACACATAGTAAACCATTTCATTTACCTCTTTGGGGCCCAGGCCCACCCATTTAAGTGACCTGGAATTCCTGGAATGGAGGAAACTACATATTCTTTAAATAGTAGATAATGTAAGTAACTAGTACAGCAGTGAACCACATTCAAAGAAAGTGTTAATGAGATAACTTGAAATTATTATTTGTCATTTATCATTATTTATTCTCCCTCGCTACCAGGATTTAACCGCCACTTTTTATTTTTATCACAGATAATATAACAAGTGACTATAGGATGATCAGATGATTAAGAGGAAAAAAAAAAAGATTTTGCCTCTGGGCTAGTCTAAATTTTGAAGTTGCTTAACTTAGCAATAGGTAACATTTCCATAATCTTGGAGCGTCCTAGCTCTTAAATCTGAGCCAGTTTTAAAAAACATATAATAGTCCATCTGTTTTAAACATACACCCTCAAAGTAAATTTGAAAATAGCTCTTTTCAAAGCATCCAGGATTGGCTAGCTTTTCTGTGTGTCCTATGTCATGACCCCTTGTCATGGGGATCATGATCCACGGAGCAGCCTGGCATCAGGGTGACTTACAAATGCAGAATCTTGACTGCACCTGGAGCCTCTTGACTCAAAACCCGCATTTCAACAAGGTTCCGCGGTAATTCATCGGCTCATTAAAGTGTGAGAGGCCGCATGCCGGTAAGCAGAGGTATTTTCTAATCGAGCACCAAGTGCAGCGTGTGTTGTCGGGAAGATGACAGTGCCCTGGCATCGATGGTGATGGGTCCACGACTTAGTGCGCATCCTAAACACTGAACGGTACAACTGAAACGGCTCAAACTTTACGGTACGGGAAAGAGATTCTTAATTTCTTGGTGGCCTGGGGTGAGGAGGAGTGAAGAAAATGTTTTCAAGTTGTACAAACGGAACCAATAGAACCGGTTCCAACTTCTCTTTCTTTTCTATTTGGAGGAAAATGAGTCGCACCATTTGGGTTTACCAGGAAGACAGCGCTGGGGCAGACGTGGACAGACGCTGGGCAGCCCAGGCTGAGGGTCTGGCGCTGGTGGGGGCAGAACCGCACGGTCGAACGGCTGGGGGGCGTGGGCACAAGTCGCAGCTAGCGCGAACAGGACACGCTCTCCTGCTGCCCCTGGGTGCGGGGCTCGGGTCCCCCCGCGCCACGCTTAGTCCTCCTTTCCGGGTTATTGGAATGGACAGCGCTGTCTAAGGCCAGGCCGCCTCGCGGGGCCGGGACGCCCGTGCGGGGAGCCTGAAGGGTCCCTCTTTCCCGGGCTGAGACCCAGCGCCCCCCGCTCGCCCGGCAACTTTCCCGCGTCCCGCAGCCCGCGCCCCCAGCGAGCCAGCCCCGCGGGCTGGGACGCCAGCCGAGCCCGGGGGTCCCCGCCGCCCGCGCCCCCCGCGCGCACTTACTAGAAGGGGTAGTAGCCGTAGGCGGGCAGCGCGGGCCGCTGGCCGCCGTCATCGCCGGGCTCCGAGTCCATGAGCAGGTAGTCCTGGCTGTCGCCGCGCCGCGCCCCCCGCCCCGAACGCGGGGCTCTGGCTCATGGCACCGAGGCGCACCCGGCGCGGGGGCAGAGGGCACGCAGGCGCAGGGTCTGCCCCGTCCGGCCCCGCGGGTGGCAGCGGGCACCGGGGAGCGACACCCGCGCGTGGTGGCAGAGAACTCCGGGGAGGGACCTCCGCGGGTGGCAGGGGGCTCCGAGGAGCGATCCCCGCGGGTTGCAGAGGGCACCGGGGAGCGACCCACGCGGGTGGCAGGGGCCACCAGGGAGCGACCCCCGCGGTTGGCAAGGGGCACCAGGGAGGGAACCCCGCGGGTGGCAGAGGGCACCCGGGGTGGCAGGGGGCACCGGGGAGCGATCCCCGTGGTTGGCAGAGTGCACCCGGGGGTGGCAGAAGGCACGGGGCGCGGTCTCCGCGGGTGGCACCTGGGCGCGGGCCGGAGCGGGGCCCAGAGCTGGAGGAGCGGGCGCCCGCGGAGTCCCCGTGCCAACCGCGCCTCCAGCCCGGCTCCCGCCTCTGCCCCCGCAGCCGCCGTCACGATCCCCCTTTAAAGGGACGCGCGTGACGTGGCCCCGAGCCGCGACACCCTCCGAGCCGGACCGGGCGAGGCGGGGCCAGGAGCGCGTCTGCGGGGGAGCCGGCTCAGGCGCACCCGGGACTTTCTAGGAAGCGTCCCCCGAGCGGCTCTTGGAGAACGGGGGGAAACCTGTTGTTGTCCCCCTAAGAACGCGAGCTACCTCCTGGGTACTCCAGACTGCTTCTCCACTCCTGGGTGCGTTTTTCCGGTTGGCTTTTGTCTCTGGCCTCTTGCCCAGCCACGAGGCGTTACCGGCTCTTCCCAGAGAGCACAGTCCCTTCCCAGCGCCTTAAGGCCAGCGAACAAAAGGAGGAAAGCTATTCTGAAGATGCCCACAAAAAGGCCGGCAATCTGCTTACTTAAGAGAAAAATGTTTCTTCCTGGTGCATGTCAGAATTAGCTATCTGCCAGGTGTTTCCAAATGTTTTCACACATTTTGGGGGGTAAAGTTTTCAATTCTTACTCAGGCTTCACACACCTGAGAAGTAAAAACTCATGGACAACGATGAATAGTTCAAGCAGTGATCAACTAGTTCGTCCCAACAACAATTTACTTATTCAGTGCCAGCTGGGTGTTAGTCCCCTTTTGGGGTTCAGAGGCAAAACAGTCAAGTCAAAGCGCCCTGTCGGCTGGGGGCGGGAAAAGGCCTGTCAGTCAACGAGGGCGGCCTTCAGAGTCAGGCTATGGTGAAAAGAAAGTAGACCCCTGTGTTAGTCACTGGCTACCCATTCCTTCAGATTAAGTGGATAAAAGAGACCTTTCCCAGGAGATGCTAGTTTTCACACAGAGCATCCTGGGAGAGGTGAAAGATCAGAACTCCATTGCATTTGCATTGATGAAGCTCATACTGTATGAAATTCTGTTGGTAAATGTGCCTCTGCTGACATGGACAGGTGGATAATGAAGCACATGTGACAAGTTGTGTGCAAAGGCAGACAACCCTAGAGAAGGGGAAAGAAGCCACCCACTTAGGGACGGTTTCCTTGGTCAGTGCTGCAAAAGCTCTATCTCCAAGAACAGGAACAATCATGGATGTGCAGAGGGCCTGCTTCTGGATGTGGCACTCACCTATGGGATGAATGAATGAAGTATGGAAAAATCAAAACATGTATGTAGCCACTAAAGGGCGAGTTACCTTGAAAAAAGGTCACCTACATTGAAGACAAAGTTGGCAAAACCCTCCATGACATTGAAGCTAATGGTATCTTCAAAGATGCCACGCCACTGACTGAGCAAGTGAAAACAGAGATAGATAAATGGGACTATCTTAAACTAAGAAGCTTCTGCACCTCCAAAGAAACAGTGACCAAAATACAAAGACAGTCTACAGAATGGGAAAGGATATTCGCCGAATACACATCTGACAAGGGGTTGATATCCAGGATATACAAAATACTGGTTAAACTCCACAAGAAGAAAACATCCAACCCCATCAAAAAATGGGGCAATGAAATGAACAGAAACTTTCTCAAAGAAGAAATCCAAATGGCAAAAAAGCACATGAGAAAATGCTCTACATCATTAATCATCAGGGAGATGCAGATCAAAACCACAATGAGATACCATCTCACACCTCAGAGATTGGCCCACATTCAAAAGAACAAAAGCAACCAATGCTGGCACGGATGTGGCGAGAAAGGGACACTCCTTCACTGTTGGTGGGAATGTCAACTGGTTCAGCCCTTCTGGAAAACAGTATGGACGATTCTCAAAAAATTAGAAATTGAGCTCCCATTTGACCCAGCAATACCACTCCTGGGAATATATCCCAGAGAGGCAAAAATGTATAGTCGAAGTGACATCTGCACTTGTTTGTTCATTGCAGCACTCTTTACAATAGCCAGAAACTGGAAGAAACCTGAATGCCCAAGAACAGATGACTGGTTAAAGAAACTTTGGTACATCTACACAATGGAGTACTATGTAGCTGTTAGAAAAGATGAAGTCATGAAATTTACATACAAGTGGTACAACATGGAAAGTATCATGTTAAGCAAAATGAGTCAGAAAGAGAGGGATAGACATAGAAAGATTGCATTCATCTGGGGGATATAAAGTAACAAAATATGAGATTAATACCCAAGAATAGCTGAGATCAGCACCAGGAGGATTACTCCATAGCTTAGTGGCCAGTCGGGCATTCTAGAGGAAAGGGCAGCTCAGATAGAGAAGGGAACACCAAATAAAGGGTGTTTGGAGGATCCTCCCAGGAGGGGAGATGCATGTTGAAAGTAGACCATGGGCTGAACATGATTGCCACTCAATGCCTCTTTTGCAGATCACAACACCCAAAAGGAGAGAGAGAACACAGGGGATTGTCCTGACACAGAGGCAGGGGGGATGGGGGGGATGGGGTTGGGGGGATATTATCCATGGTGGTGGAAAATGGGCACTGGTGGAGGGATGGGTATGTGATCATTGTATAATCAAACCCAAGCACAAAAAATTGTGGATCTACAACTATACCTCATGGTGTTTCACTAATAAAAAAAGAAAAAAAAAGGTCACCTTCATCATTCTGAAGTCTGCCATTCCAGTACTGAGAACCCCCTTTCTATCTCTGTGTAGCCATGATGTGGAACTCTTATTGTTTTCTATTAGTTATACATAGCAGTAAGATACTCTATTTGAAATTTGCTTGTGCTTATTGCTATCTGTCAGAACTCAAAAGCTGAAGAGTGAAGGAATTAGTCCACACGTGTTTGATTTTTTTTTTAATTTTATCGAATCTCCGTGAGATCGTTACAAGCTTTCGTGTTTGGGTTACAATCACACAATGATCAAGCACCCATTTCTCCACCAGTGCACTAGCAATATCCCCAGTATATCCCCCCTTCCCATCCTCCTCCTGGCAGACAATATTCCCCTTACTCTCTCTCTACTTTTGGGCATTATGATTTGCAATACAGATACTGAGAGGACGTGTTTGATTTAAATACTGAAGTAATCTGGGAACATCAGCTACAGGAAACAGCTCTGTGGGGAAAATAACTCTGTGAGTTAAAGAAGAGTTAGAGATCTGGTGGTGTTAGGTAAAGTGCTCATCCTCAAAAAAAAAAATTGAGATGGAACTTGTTTTTGTTATAGTTGAGCTGTTTGTACCTTTCCTCATAACACCGTTTTTCATTCTTGGTTAACAATCGTCACACTGAAAAAATATTACAATAAACTTATAATGTGGCATCAATTTTTCACTTGACAAGTTAAGACATGCTTTCCTCTATAATTTGAAGCACAGTCAGTAGTGAACTAATAAATCCCAAGGATATTTACTTCCCAAGTGATAGAAGGTAATGTACAAAATTTAGAAGGTTCTGAGAGAGTTTATGATACGATGAAGTGGAGAGAACATTAGTTTGGAACTCTGCAAGCCTGGATTTGTGTTCTAATCATGTCTTTCACTGAGTCTGTGATTTCAAAGATGTTTAATCTCTCAGCCTCGTTTATTCTTCAGCTAGCAAATATAATAACTGAGAACCCCTCAATATCTAGTTTTCTGCATTTAATGCTATGTACTTTGATGTATTCAATTACATTAAAAGTACAGGAAAGCAATGAGGGACACATCTCCTTAAACTGTACAATAACCTTCAGCTTCTTAAACTTCTGAGTTTTGTCTGCAAACCTTTCATACAATTTTCAAGAACCTGCGAGCTCAGGAATAAGTCTGTTTTTGTGCTAGCGAGCAAAGTGGAATAAGTCTGTTTTTGTGCTAGCAAGCAAAGAGTGTTTTTTTTTTAATTTATTTTTTTTATTTTTTTATTTTTTTTTTTTACAGTTGTAGATTTACAATTTTTTGTGCTTGGGTTTCAATTATACAATGATCAGATACCCATCCCTCCACCAGTGCCCGTTTTTCACCACCATGGATAATATCCCTCCCACCCCCATCCCCCCATCCCCCCCTGCCTCTGTGGCAGGGCAATCCCCTGTGTTCTCGCAAAGAGTGTTTTTTTTATATTTTAAAATAACTGTAAAAAAAATAAAATCAACACAGATATGCTACAGAAATCATAAGTGTTCCACAAGTTCTGAAGTGCCTACCGTTTAACTATGGACAAGGATTGCTGATTCCTACTTGGGCAGGCTATAAAACAGACTCTTTATCAGCATACTTGGAATAATAAAGTATCTATCAAAGAGGAAAGTTACAATGGAAAGTAAATAATGGGCTATCAGAATGGAAAATAGAGATAGAAGTTGTAGTGTCTAAGTAGGGCCTATTCAGTACAGTTTCAAGCTTCCTATTTCATTCTCTTTCTAAGCATATAAGGAAACCATATTTGTCAAAGCCCTCAGCCAGCAAGTTCCTGCCATGTAGTTATCTAATTCTAAAAATCTTGCATATTAGTTGATGCTCTTTCTATTGAGATGTGTTGTATTCCTTTCCTTGATTAGGGACCGGACTTAATGATTTGCTCAGTCACTGTCACTATCACTGTCCTCCCGTTGTTCATTGATTTGTTCCAGCAGGCCCAGTAGCATTGTGAGACGTGTTACTATGTTTGGTATATCTAATACATGACGGGTAACTTGCCAGACTTTGCCGTGCAGGCGAGAT